AAAATATGTCTGTTCATTCCATTTCTCCTGCCTAGTTTAGTCTGGGTCATCACCATTTTAGTCCTGGTTTACTTTCACAGCTGAAGTATTCTCTATCTCATTATAGCCAACGTCCTGCTGCCAGAAGCATTCTTCCTAACACTATCATTTATCTGCTTAGAATATTTTATTCTGTATCCTACCACTTACAGGATAAAGAATAAGCTCCTTAGTTTTCTGTTGAAAACAATGCATAAGCCATCTGTGTTTTTCACCACCATCAATAAAACATATTGTCTGGCTCTTTGCACTCCCCTAAACTGGCCATTTTTCCTCCCTGCAGATTACATGTCCTCACAGAAGCTGGTGTTTTGGTCTGAGATGTTATCTACATCTTCATGTCACCTGACTAACATTTTGCTGATTGACTGACTCACCAGCAACATCCTCTCATGAGCACACTTCTCTTATGTGATATACCACATTGCATTGACCTTGTTTACCTATAGGAGCAGAACCTATATCATATTCATCGTAATTACTCAGTTCTGGACATGTATATTTGATTGAACTGAACTTATTTTAGTTCATGTTATTTCTACCTTTGAAATCTTCTCAAGTCCCGCTTTCAGCCATTCCTTCCCCCAACCCTGTGTATTCTGTCACTGGTGAGCTACTTTTTATCTTTCAATAACCTGCTTATACAACACCTCTTTTGTGAAACCTCACCTACCTCTCTCCTCCCATTTTACTTCATTGCAAACTGTTGAAGCGAAATGGCCAGGCTACTCACAGTTGGGCCTTGTGATCCAAGCCCAGGCTTTCAATGTATGCTTGTGTGATAAATGTTATTAACTTTTATTTCTAAGGCCTTCTAAATTTTATAAAATTTATTTATGTCAAGTATCCCTTTTCATAAAACAAGACAATTTGAAAGTAGGGCAGGTAGGCTGGGAGTGGTGGCTCATGCCTGTAATCCCAGAATTTTGGAAGGCCAATGAGGGTGGATCATCTGAGTTCAGGAGTTCAAGACCAGTCTGGCCAACATGGTGAAAACCCATCTTTATTAAAAATATAAAATATCAGGAGTTCGAGACCAGCCTGGCCAACATGGCATCTTTACTAAAAATACAAAAATTAGCCAGGTATCCTGATAGGTGCTATAAACCCAGCTACTCGGGAGGCTGAGGCAGGAGACTTGCTTGAACCAAGAGGCGGAGGCTGCAGTGAGCTGAGATCATGCCACCACACTCCAGCCTAGGTGGCAGAACAAAATTGACTCAAAAAAAAAAAAAAAAAAAAAAGGTAGGGCAGGTTATATTAACCTTTTTTAAAATGCATAAAGGGATTGAGATTTTTACAAAATGGAGCCAGTCATGATCAAAGTTTAAAAGAAGGGAATGTGGGATTCAACCATTATTTTTGACTTACACGGTATTATTATTATTATTACTTTTTACTGTTTACATAGTGAGACAATTGCCAGAGTTCCCTGTTAATGGACTTTAGAAATCCTACCTTTATGAGATCACCTCAAGCCTTTAGTACTCTGTTTCCTGCCTTTCCAAGCCTATGCTGATCTGCAACTTCTCTGTCAGTTGGCAGGGGGTTTGATATGTGTGAAAAAAAGCTGACTTTTTTGAGTTCCTGAATACTAGGGATTTTATGCTCGTTACGTAATTCCTACAAAAACCTCTTGCTCTACTTATCAACTTTCATTAATTGATGTTGCATGTTTTGTAAATTCTTCAGTAGAGAGTGCATGTCTTCAGCCATTATTTGCCTTGAACTGTAAATAAGAGAAAACCTGGAATCAAATTTTTATTTCTGACTCTGGTTTCATCTTTGGTATTTTCATCAACCACATTATCTAATACAGGAGAGTTTTATGGCCTCTTGAACATGAGTTACCACATTTTTGATAATACACATTGGAAAAATTTCTTTTGTTCTCTTCACCTTTTAGAAATTCCATTCCTCTCCTAGGGAACTAATAAGTAACCAATCAAATACAGAAATGAAAGAACATCTGGCCCAATTTGCTCTTCATAAAAGTAGAAAAGCATTACTTCTCTATCACAGAGTGCAATTATTTTTTATTCCTGTGAACAGTTCTATTTCAAAAGTAACTTTTCTTTGAAGGAAGAGTACTTTTGGTACAAACACTGTATTCTCAGGTAAAAACCAAGCTCTACCAAGGGCAAAATGATAAGGGAGGAAAAGCATTCCCCTGGAAATACAAAATCAATACGTTGTTCTTGAGTGTACCTTCTGCCATGGCAGTGGTTTGTTTTGTGAAGTTGAGGTGTTAGGGAAAAGTAGATTTCCACTAACAACAAAGAGAAAAGCAGAAAATTTTAAATAAAAAAACAAAGGCATTTCAAAGCTATTCAACATCGGGTGACTAATGGAAGTCAGTAGACAGGATGTCATAGAAGTAATGTGTGCTGTGATCAAAATTACTCTATAGGTGGATCTTTTCTAGATCTGGAAGGTCACTTTCACTGTCCACATGATTACAAAAGGCCCAACTTCAAACAAAGATTAAGTAGAGGACCACTTGCTTGGAAAACCTTGAGAGATGAGAGGAATCTTAGAGTGATGAAATCATTGAATTAAAAGGCTGCAAAAAGCCCTAGAGAGTATCCCCCAGAATTTTGCTTTTCTATTTATTTTACTTAGTTATGATCATACCACGCTGATCCTTTTGCATTCTGCTTTTTTCTAATAATATTTTGAATGATGGTGTGTTTAGTAACAATGAAATGCCTGTAGAAAGAAAACTCAAAAATAGGGTGGTTTTTCAGAAGACCAATTTGATAAAATCAATTGAATTATAGGAATTATTATTTTTTTGCAAGAGCAAAGAAGATGGTTATTCATATCAGGGTATTGAAACCCAATGGCTCTTGTATGTCAGAGTAGCTTACAGTGAATGTCAGCAGTCTTCTTTTCCTAATTGCTGCTGCTCTGCATGACGGCATGGTTCAGTCTAGAATACCTCTCTACTTCCTCTCCAGCGATAAGCAGCTGACAGCTCTAAGGGGGCAGAATGGATTCCCATCAGATAGGAAGGTGGCGTACTTACTTGTGCTGGTGGGGGAATGCACTCTCCACTTTGTATTTGGGTCTTGTTTCAGGGAGGGGTAACTTCATCCTGTTTCGATAAATATATAAATAACTCTAGGTATCAGGAGAGATAGTAACTTAGGCTTCTTAAAGAACGGAAGGTTTATCACAAGAATTAAACATTTTATTAAAAAAGAATAAAGAATTTTTACTCAGAGATGAAAAAAAGTTTGTTTCTCAAATAAGATGCCATATTATAATTTTAATAAAGGGCATCATATTAGAAGTAAAAAGATTTGAGTTTAACTTCTGGCTCTGTCTCTTGTGGATTTGGGACCCGTCAGTTTCTATGTTTAAACCTCAACTTTCATATCTGCAAAATGAATGTTTGACAAAACCATTGGTCTGAACCCTGAATAAACATCAAAATTACCTAGATAATTTAAAAGAATAAACTGGTGCATGGGCTCCACTTACAGAGATTCTGATTTAATTAGACTAGAATGAGGTCCTGCATTTGGTATCAAAACTAAGTTCCTCAGGTTATTGTAATGTGCAGTAAGAGAGCTACATGACCTCTAAAGGCCTTTCAAGCTCTAATATACTATGATAATTACAGTGAAAGCAGTATTAGGTATTAGGGAGAGCACTTTTTAGTTGCAGCAGAAATACAACTTAAACTAGAATAAGGGGGAAAATGATATTTAGCGGCTTCTAACTTTGGGGCTCCCTTTTCTCCCCAGTTTGAACTTTGCTTTCTTCTGGGGTTTGATCATATTTTTTCCTTGATGCAGTTGGGATTCTGCAGTCCTAAGAAAAGTTGGCAGCCCTAGATTCACCTCCTTCAGATTCTCCAGTGGAAAAAGGAGCTAATTTCCTGCTAGTGTCTGCCTATCAACTCTAGAGAAATGCTTTGATTGGCCTTTTTTGGATAGTTCCCTCTCTTTGTGAATTGGGTGTATGATTGACAGTCCCATTATACAGCAGTGGTGGAAGTGTCCTATTCGGATCTCCCTTTCAGAGAACCTACTTTAGGGAGCATAGCTGATTGACAGCCTTTAGCTGCCACACTTAGGGACCCACTGTGTCTTTCACACCAGGCCGGGTTTTCATTGGGCTCCTCCAGCCAATGACTAAGCACAATGGGGATACTCAAACTCAGCCATTCCAGCCCGATGAGGGATCCCTCTCATGGGTTCAATGACTTTCCCACTGGCCTAGCTGAGATAACCTCATAACTTCACTATAGCCTAAGGTTTTTCCTATCTAATCCCTTCTTCCCTTTCTACTTTTATAGATGTCAAGATCACTTTGCAGTCTGAATGAAGGTTCTCGCTGCCTTATTCCTGCTCTCTCTCTTAACCTTCAGAGTGTTTTCTCCAATAAATATCTTGCTTTTTATTGCTGGCTTGATGTCTACTTCATAGAGGACCTAAGCTACTGCTGACTAAAACCATATGGCATGGGTTTGAGACAGTTCGCCCAAGGAAGGGATGTCAGATGTTTAGAAGAAAATACATGCCCACTATAGGCTGCATCTTTGGGTTTTTATCCAGTATGGATCATTCTGTAGCAAGGATATAGAGCAACTACCAAGATATTGAACAACTAGGCAGGTGTCAAGCCCTCAGATGCTTTCTTGGAGATGACAGATACACTCAGGAGTCTGTGAATCTACTAAGGGTCAAGAGAAAGACATCAGGACTTGGTTTGATGAAGAGTTTATTAAGCAGAATTAATCTAGCTGCACAGCTAGAGTTAACTACATGTGTCGCTCAGCCATAAAGCCACTTGTTTTATTAATATTGTGCTGTCCCTTTGATGTTTTCACAGAACATTTTACTTATTTCTTAACTAAAAAATATAGCCTTCTGCTCACTATTTGGAATTGATAAAAGCTACTATATATAATCTTAAAAATATATATTGTATAATAAAGAAATATATATATAACATATATATATATATATACATAAATAATGTATATTTTTTCATTGTTAAAGATTCGAATTTTTAAGGAAAACTTTATCAGGATCAAGAAATGAGAGTTTTTAGTGGAGAATTCTTCTTAATTCTATTTAAGCCTTGGCCTCAAAATAGCAACCCTATGATCTCATTGATTTTTTTTTTGAGGTGATCCATTTGGCATTCATTCATTCATTTATTCTTTCTTTTGGTAAAGTTATTTAAGAGCATATTGTTAATGTACTAGTATTCATGAGAGGATTTACTTTTTAATTTGATTGTCTTTTATAAGTTCTTCAGTACAAGCTACTTATCAGCTCAAACTTCCAGCTGGCAATTACTGAGAGCAGGATGAGAAAGGGGTAGTAATGAGTCAGTGAATTTGGGTGTGAGGAACAGAGATATCTGGGACACATGGTGAGATCTTCACAGGCTAGTTTTGGAGGCCACTAGAGTCAGGGGTGTGACCCATCAGGGGCCACTGGGCATGACTGGAAAGTCACTATGAGTTGAGGAAATGGGAAGACCGAACCGAAGAAAAAATGAGGAAGAATGAAGGCAGATTTTTTGTTTTGTGATTTTTCCAAGGGCCTGGCTTGGATTTTGCCTATGTAGGAAAATGTGCAAGAAGTACAGTGACATTCTGAGGGAACAGGTGGTCACAATCCCCCACTGCTTCTCTCCAGCCAGAAGGAGGCTAACATCCAGCCCCTGGTGAGGCCCACTCAATTCACTAGGCAGAGCACGATGATCTGAGGATCTCTGCCAACCCTCCTGCCTGGCCAAGCTGTGAGACCAACTGTTCCTTATTTTCTAAGCATTGAGCTGCTTCTGGACTTTGCTTCTTTGTTTAGGAAATGAATCCAAATCCCTTTCCTCTGGACTTGCTTGATCTCCAGGCCTGAAGTCAAGCCAGTATTGGCCGCTATCTATTCCCTCAGCCACACAGTGAACAACCATCATAACCACACCACACATTTATTGGTTCAAGTCTTGTTTTCAAGGGGGTTCTACATACTCCACCTGATTTCATACTAGAAAAAATTCTACATTGGAAGAATTCTACATAGGATTGTGCAGGTGTCATCACCTATTTGACAGCTGTTAGGCCTGAGGCCTGAGGCCTGAAGAAATTGATGTAAAGCTAGTCTCAAATCCAGGAGCCCAACTTCAGTCTTTTCATCTATGGTCCTTGTGTGATGCATTCAAAGATGCATTAACTCTTGAAGAGAAGATGCACATTCCCATCTCCTCTTGGGCAAAATCTAAACTTCTGTATGACTTTTATCTTCAACCTTCATTCTCAAGTAGCCAAACAAAGGAAAGGGTGCTTTAATGAAATGGGGCCCAAGACCCCCAACTTGTTCTGACAAAAATAGAAACTTGTAGTAGGAGCAGATGATCATGTCTGTTATTTAATAGGAGGAACATAAGAAATAGGAATAAGAAAACCTGAAGGTGGATTGTGACTTGTTAATTAGCTCTTCAATATTTATTAACCTCTCTGAGCTTTGCTCTCCTCTTCCTTTAAGCAGAATAATACTACTCTGCCATGTGTGCCCCATCAAGGTGTTAAAACAATTAAACTATAAAATAAAACTGGCTTTAAAATTATAAAGCACAATTCATTTAGAAAGGTGTTTTTTAGCATTATTTTAGTTATTTGCACATAAAAAGGCTAAATATATGATGAAAGATGAGTGAGAAATGCAAGAATGATTTGGATTTTTGAATACTCTGCATCATCATGACTTTTTGCAATATTTTACCCCCTCCAATCCTTTATTCTTTCCAGGTTCTCACTTATTCATGGTAGATTGTGTTCTTTACCTTTAACTGAGTGGCAGTTGGTCAGGCACAATCTTCACCACGAAGGTCACCAAACCCTATTCATAGACTCTAATATTAACGGTCATGGCCCCCTATCAAGTCCTAAAACACTGAGAGAGTCTTTCTGAACCAAGTCCTCTGCTGCCTCTGTTCTTCCCTCTACCCAGCAGTTTCTCAGAAGTTATCACCAAGTTTGGTGAATAATTATACTCTTGGATATCACCGGGGAGTAGAATTATTGATTCAAAAGACCTTAGAGCTCAAAAGGTCCTGAGAGACCATCATAACCACCATCTTTATTTTACAGATAGAGCTGCTGAGGATCACAGAGACGAAAGGCCTGAATTAGGCTTACATAGCTAGTAACTACAAGAATCGCTAAAATCTAAGGTGCTGTATTTACCAGGGTAGTGGTCTTTCAAGTTGATAATTCTGAAAGAAGGCTGCAGAGAAAGAAAGCTGAAGGTAGCCCCAGGATTTTCTGTACTTGTGGGTTTCCTTAAATGGAACAGTGAGTTTCAAAAGGTCTGTCACTGATATCCTGCCTTCCCAGTTATGAAGACATGCCTTTGAAAACTTCCTCATCTTTTTTTTAAAAATTTTATTTTACTTTAAGTTTTGGGGTACATGTGCAGATCTTGCAGGATTGTTACATAGGTATACACATGCCATGATGGTTTGTTGCCTCCATCCCCCTGTCACCTACATTAGGTATTTCTCCTAATGTTATCCCTCCCTATCTCCCTACCCCCTGCTATCCCTCCCCTAGTCCCCCACCCCCCAAAAGACCCCAATGTATGATGTTCCCCTTCCTGTGTCCATGTGTTCTCATTGTTCAATACCCACTTATGAGTGAGAACATGCGGTGTTTGGTTTTCTGTTCTTGTGTTGGTTTGCTGAGGATGATGGTTCCCGGATTCATCCATGTCCCTGCAAAAGACATGAACTCATCCTTTTTATGGTTGAATAGTATTCCATGGTGTATATGTGCCGCATTTTCTTTATCCAGTCTCTTTGATGAGCATTTGGGTTGGTTCCAAGTCTTTGCTAGTGTAAACAGTGCTGCAGTGAACATATGTGTGCATGTGTCTTTATAATAGATCGATTTATAATCCTTTGGGTATATACCCAGTAATGAAATTGCTGGGTAAAATGGTATTTCTATTTCTAGATCTTTGAGGAATCACCACACTGTCTTCCACAATGATTGAACTAATTTATACTCCCACCAACAGTGTAAAAGTGTTCCTATTTCTCCACATCCTCTCCAGCATCTGTTGTCTCCAGATTTTTTAAAGATTGCCATTCTAACTGGCATGCCATTCTAACTGGCAACCAACAGAATGAGAAAAAATTTTTGCAAGCTACCCGTCTGACAAAGGGCTAATATCCAGAATCTACAAAGAACTAAAACGAATATACAAGAAAAAAAAAACCCAATCAAAAAGTGGGCAAAAGATATGAACAGACATTTTTCAAAAGAAGACATTTATGTGGCCAACAAACATATGAAAAAATGCTCATCACCACTGGCCATTAGAAAAATGCAAATCAAAACCACATTGAAAACTTCCTCATTGTAGCAGTGTCCTCTAGTGCTATATCCCATTGAAGCTAACTATTCCAGGCCTTATTATTTTTTTGTTTTACACCTTAGAGGATTCAGGATTTAATGCTTACCTTTTTGTTGTTCACACACTTTTTATATTCAATTTCATTAAAATGTGAATTCAGTTGATGACTTACCTAGCAAGCTTATTGAGGAAAATCCTAGACTGTTGATCCCAACTATGTTGAGTAATATGGAAACAATGAGGGTTTCATTAGGTATGATCAACATGGGGCAGGCTGAGAGAAAGCTCAGTGGTCTTATTTCCAGTTTCCAAGAATTTTGAGTGTTTGAATGTGCAAGTGAGCCAAGGGAACATCCTAAATCTTTTTTTTTTTTTTTTTTTAGGGAGTTTGGGCCTCTAATAACAATTGTACTTGCAAAATGTTTCTAAAAGTACAGGTATCAAACAGACATTCATTCAGAAGTGGCCAGGCAAGGTCAAGGGGTCAAGGGTAGTCCTTTACTCTTGTGTTCAGAGTGACTTAGTCAAGGTTTTTTTAATTACGTATTAGATAACTTTGATTTCTTCTTTTGCAACCTAATTCCTATCCCATTACAGCACATAAATTGCACCAAGAAGAATCTTCAGACAGAGTAAGTGGTTGCTTTGGAAAAGGGGTAAATTTAGGATTCAAAAGAAGATTCTGAGTCATAATCAGACACTTATTCATGGAGCCATGTAATTTTACTGTAATTCCATGTTTACGAAGTATAACATAAATGACAATATCACTCTATGTTTGTGATCTCTCTTAAGCATCCTTTGTTTTATTTATTTATATGAAAGATATCTTTGAGTTCCCATTATGTCCCTGACACTGTTGGTAAGGATTTTACAGATCCAGTGAGAGTTACTTAGCTAAATAGGGAGGAACAAAAGCTTGAACTCATAGATTCAGTGATCTTTCTGATCTGTCATGTGCCAGGTCATCTAATTTCTGCTATAGGCTTCCTTCATCCAGAGTTGTACTACTCATAGCATAAAACAGTCGAATAGATGCAAAAGGACAAACCTTGGATTTGAATATTATGGAGTAAGCATGTGGAAAATTGCTGAACTTTTCACTTTTTAAGCACTAGTGTCCATGCTAAGTATTTGAACATCATATTTCAGGCTACTTTGTCTTTTTCCTGAACTGGCTGCTCAGCATTGGGAAGAGTGTTGACCACAGCTATTCCAGACTCTCCTTAGCTCAGACATAGTTTACTGATTAACTCCTTTATTTGAGCATACCCTGGGGCCCAGTCCCATGCTAGGCCCTGGAGACGGTCAGAGGGCTGGTGTAGAGAAAGCAGTGCACAAACCTCAATTTTCTTATCTCTAAAACTCTAAAACCTCATTTCCAAATAATAAAGTTTATTTCACAGAGTTCTTCTGTGGATCAATCAATATAAGGCTAGCAGATGCACCTAACAAATGATAACACAGGAGAGACATAAAAGGCAGAATTATGGGTAATTATGGGTATATTACAGGATAATATAAAAGACAGCATATAGCATCCTATAATACATGCACACTGATCCCTAAGCTTCTGTTGTGCAGAAGCTGGGTGTTATTCATTATTGTATTCTTGGCCTCTTGAACAGAATCTGGCACATGGAGTTTGAAAAAAATAATTTAGTTAAATGATAAAACCAGGAAGCATATAGATTCTAAAAGTACAGAATATGAGTTTTATGGAACTGCACAGAAATGAGGAAATTCAGTTATGTGGTGAGATGACACAATAACTTTTGTGTAGTATTAATGTAAGAAAGAACTTTCTGAAACTAGAACTATTAACGATGAAATGACTTGCTCCAAGATTGTCACAAATAAAAGTAAGTTTTCTACTCTAATGTATTCAAAAGATCACTGGCGAATCTACCTATCAGAAATGTTCTGTGTGTAAGAAACAAATGAGTGTTCTGCGAGATCTCAGAAAAATAAAAATAAACATGTGGGGACTTGAAAAAGTTTGTGGAAAAATGAAATTAAAAGATAAACTTTATTTCTCGAAATAAATTCCATGAAGGTCAAGACACTTTTTTAAGCAATAATTCTAGTCATTTAGTTCATCCCTGAAGAACTGAGAGTCCTGAGAATTTAACCAGGTCAATGCAGTCTTTTTCACATTGTTAACTGAAGAAAAATGGGTGCCTTCTATAGATTTTTTTTAAGATTAGGAAACAAGCAGAAGTCAGAAGGAGCCAATTCAGTTTACATCAAAACTCTTTCCAAATTGCCCTTGTTTGATAAGAAGAATGAGCAGGAACATTGTCCGGATGAAGAAGGACTCCCTGGGAAATTTTTCCCGGGTGTTTTTCTATTAAAGTTTTGGCTAAGTTTCTCAAAACACTCTCATAATAAGTGGATGTATCATTGTGTGGTCCTCCAGAAAATCAGCAAGCAAAATGCCTTGAGTATTCCAAAAAAATTGTTGCCATGACCTTTGCTCTAACCAATCCACTTTTATTCTGACTAGACTACTTCCATCTTTTGGTGTCCATTGCTTTGATTGCACTTTGTCTTCAGGATTGTACTGATAATGACATGTTTCATCTTCTGTTATAACTCTTCAAAGAAATGCTTTAGGATCTTGATCCCACTTATTTACAATTTCCTTCGAAAGTTGTGTTCTTGTCTGCAGCTGATCTGGGTGCAATGATTTAGGCACTCATTGACTGGAAACTTTGCTCATTTTTAATTTTTCAGTTACAACAGTATAAGCAGAATCAATTGAGGTGTCTATGGTGTTGGCTATTGTTTCTGCTGTTAGATGCCAGTCATTTGGGGCACAAACAAGATTAACATTTTCCTTGAAAATTGATGTGGGTGGCCTGCTGCTACATGTTTCATCTTCAACATTGTCTTCAGCATAGCTTGTAAGTGGCAGAGCCAGGATTTGAACATATGCCATCAAAGCCAGCATCTGTGCACTCTTAACCATTACACTATGTGGTAGAGAAGCAAGCTCTGATGCTTGTCTAGCCCTTTCCTGACACATACGTGAGTGATGTGAGCAAATCAGACAGTGTGTGTGCCATCAAAAGACGGCACTGGACCCTCATTTCCAGGCACTTCTTGCCATGTTTTAATACATTTCTAGTGTCACCAGATCTTCTGAATTTTATATGGCATCATTCAGTTTTTAAATATGTCAATTAAGTAGATATGTAGTTTAACATATGTATGTATACGTTTATGCACACAAATATACACGTATATGTATATTAAAGCAAAGTTCACACCGAACAAACATGTAGGCTAGGTTTGGTTTGCATACTCTGCATCTGTGAATTCTAAATTTACGAAAACCTAGGAACAACCTACATTTTCTAACACACACAGAAGTTAGATGACTTGCTCAAGGTGATGACAATTGGTTAACTCTGGGCATCAGAAAGGCATAGCTTTTCATCTCACTACCATGTCTATTCTACACAGTGTTTATGTAAAGATCAGGTGAAAAAAGCAGCAGCTAAAGAGGGAGCCACCGGCCCTTCACATAGAATGCATCTCGACAAACCTGTGGTTGATTAAAATGGTAACAGATTCTTTGCTGTTCTTGTCGTTGAGAGATGGAGTCTAACTCTGCTTTCTTGGTGATTTGTTTGACCAACAGAATGTGGCAGAAATGAAATTCTGGCATTTCTGATATTAGTGGTATGAAGACTTATACCATCTTGTCTGACCAAGTGTCAGCTCTCCAGCTGACAGCCAGAGCTGGGCTCCCAGCCATCAGATAGACCCAACAGCCGGGCACCGCAGCCCAGGCTTCAGGGAAGCAATTGAAGATACCATATTAAATGTGCATCCTCCTGCCTCAGCTGTCCCAGCCCCTTTAGCCACCCAGTTGAACCTATTCTAAATTCCTGACCCAAGTAAGTGTGAGTCAAATCAAAATTAAATTTTAAGCCACTACAGTTTGGGGTAGTTTGCTAGACACTAATAGATAATGAGGCCAATTCCTTTAAGCAATTTACCCAGGAAAATGCTCCAAAGCCATCCCCTTTACCTTCGAGTTCTCCAGAAGAAATTTCATTTGCTGTGGGACCTCACACAGTGTGGGTGTGCACAGAAGTCATTTTTATAAAAGATGACTTGGGAGGCTCCATTTTCATGTTGAATGCATTTGTCATTTGGACACAGCTAGCAGGTAGAAACCTTCAGACAAAGGAGGTGAGCGACATATGGGTATATGTCCTTGGCCATAGGATTTATCACCCCCTCTCTGTGGACCTTTGGAAGACAAGTAGAGTTGGAAGGATGAAAGGAGTCTCTGTAATGATTCTGGGTCCTCTTAGGATTCCACCTGGGTTCACGGTGATGATTGGAAGTGATGGTAGTGGAAAAAGAGAGCAAAGTGTGGGCCCTGGGTTGCTGTGTCTGATGGCTGAGACTTGTGTATACTCCAGGTAGTGACATTTCTGGCCTTACAGACATCTCTTCATCTTCATCTCATTGCAAGCGTGTGCCAGAGGCTGAGGATAATAAAATGAACAAATATGCTCCATTCTTCAAAAAGCTTCAGACTATATACATATATAAATCAAATGTAAAAAAATTAATTTATTACTTGGACTGAACTTTCTAGAGTATAAACAGGAAATGGCTTTATTTTTCTCTCATTATTTCCTTCAATATGCTTTATCTTTTCTCATTTCCTTTCTTTGCAGTTTGATAACATCTTGAGCAGATTCCATAAGTGTTCACTCTTTTTAACCCATTTTTGACAATATAGAGTCCCTTCTAGGTTTAAAAAGCCTAATTCTGACTTTTTTAAAGCTTCAAGTTCATGTTTAATTTAAAGCTTCTTTTCTTCCTTCAGATTGCACCTTGGAGACCAGAGTGGAGTCCAATATGGTTTCTCCTCAATCTTCCTTCACTTTTTTTTTCACTTTTGCTTCGCATTTCTTTAAGTTCTGCCCTGTGGGATATGGGAAGAGATATGAGGAAACAGACATTGGAAGAACAAAGGAAACAAGGACTTACATGGCTAATGGCTTGTAATATAGGCATCAGTGCTCCTGGCTGTAGCAGGTGTTCAGAGGCTACGGTAAGCTGTTCATAGGGTTTTTCTGCACAACACCCTACCCTCAACATGGGGATTTCTGCAGTGTAGTTTCCTGATGCAGGTGCCACATGTTCTCACTGGCCCTTTGGAACCTTCTTCTATCCCCTTCCCCTCTGAGATCAATCCCAGTCACGGAGCCCTCTTGGGTAGGATCCCATTAAGTTGCCTTAAGCTTAGCCATTCTCTACCCATTCAGCCATGTACTGGGTCCAGAGGAAATTCACATATATTCTTCAAGCCCAACACTGCTCTCCTGATACCTGCTGCTCCTCCTTGCCGTTCTGGACTGCTCTGGCAGTATGCTGCCAAAGTCTTGTCAGTGGGAAGCAGGCTCCATTCTCTCTGTCCACACATACCCCCAAACTCAAGCTCACCTACAATCACTAACCGTATGCTTCACTAGAATCCCCAGCTGCCATGAGGCCTGTGGTTCATGGCACAGTAAATCTTCCTGGGGGGCTGGACCTCCAGCCTGCAGCCACCCCCAGGATCTACAAAGAATGCTCTTCAAGCTTCTTCCCCAGCTTTTTGCTGAGAAAAGCCAAGTACTTTCAATTCCTTCCTGAGCCTCCTTTCACATTTTCTAACGTCTTTCACGCAGCCCGGAGGATGTAATGGCCTTCAGCTTCTCTTCCTTTAGTATGTATGTGGACTCAGTTTTAGCCCAGATTCTAGGACAATGAGACACATTTTATTAAATTCAAATGATTCCGGACCATGTTGGTAACTGCTGAAATGGAGCAACGCCACTGAACAGATTCAGCAGGAGAAAGAGACAGGAATGCCTCCAGCAGCCAGGCAAGGGGAGGACCCGGCTCTAGGAGAATAAATGGAGGGTCATCAGGAAGGAGAGTGAGGGGGAACACTGGGTAGAGACATGAGAGCATGGTTGATGACAAAAAAGGGCTTAGTGAACTCAGCACAACACAGTGGCCGGTCATCTGCAGGAAGAAGGGAGTCAAGACTGCAGAGGCAGCTTGGAGGCAGAACAGGGAAGTGGGGCTGTGAAGAGCTTCTCGGAGGGGATAAGGTGAAGTCATTTTCTAGTTAGAAGGAGCCAAAGGACAGAATCAGGAACAACAATTAAGAGGTCCCCCAGTAATCTCATTTACCTTCCTTAGATTACTCCGTTGTCTTGTGTTCCCAAATCTCTTCGCCTTCCATGTTTCCTTCTAGAAGGTTGACAGTCACTGGTAAATGGATGGCAAAAGATTTATTTGGTAGTGAATTGAACAGGGTCATATGGCCACAGTCTATTTTTGGCCACCTCCATAAGGCTGAATGAAGTAAGATGCATGAAAATGTTCTATAACATTCTAACCTTAGAAAACGTAGAGAACTCTTATTGTTAAGCAGTTAATGTTTGTGCAAGTCATTTGGCAATTAATTTTAAATTACCTGTGACATTTCTTCTCTGATTTTCTGGAATTGTGATTTAAGTCTATAAATCCACTTGTTTCATCTCTCAGGGCTCTGCTCCTCTGTTTCCAAGGTGACAGCTAGCTAGCTGGTGGATTAATCCATGCTAATCTGTTAGTTGCGACCAAAGGAGGCAACACTGAATGATGCCATGCGTTTTAAACCTAGTAATGTTCAGATTAATTTTTAAATAAAAAATTGATTTTAGAACCAAAGTATGGACCTAGATAATTATTAAAATGATAATTATGATATTAATCATATAGGCATGTAGACCATTTTGTTGTGTCAGATATGTGCCATTACTTCCTATACTTAATTCAGGTTGAATAAGGTTGAGCCTCCATCCTCTCATTAGGCTTGCAAGAATATTAGTCTAGTTTTTTTTAGGGTTCCCTGAATCTCAGCTGACACATCCACTAAAGGTTGTGCAGAGGTTTTGGGAGGTGAGTCTCAGGCAGTGACAAAGCATGTAGGCCATTGGCCTGCTAATTATCAGCGAGACAGCCTTATCCACATTTCAGGGCAACTTAAAGTCCGCTGCTCTGATCCATTTGGGCCATGACTGAGACCTAGGAATTGAATCCTAAAATCTCCAGGATCCAGTTTCCTAAGGTGAACTAAACAGTCCTTTATCCTTTCAAGCTTGTCCTGAGAGGAAGTAGGACGTGGAGCCACCCTCAGATATTCTTCTCCTTTGAGACCTAGGTAAATCTGCCCTCCCTTTCTCTACGTCTCTGGCTAACAAGACATGGAGTTTGTGGGCCATTGTTTGGTTATTAGATGGCAATTAAGATAAGTCCATATACACTCATCATTTCTAATACAATTGAAATGCAAATGGAAAACTAAGAATTTTTGGGGTTGCGTGTTTGGAACCTCAGGCACATATTTTTGAAACTCCAGGGCCCATGGAAGTCAGTTTGGAAACATTGCTGCAGTTGCTTGAGTATGAGCTCTGGAGTCAGATGGAGCTGAATTTGAATTCTATCTCAGTTTCTGCATTCGTAGCAAAAACATGGTAATATTGCCTTCAGTATTAGTTTCCTAGTGCTTCTATAAGTAATTACTAAAAATTGGGTGGTTTAGCATAAGAAACAATT